TAGAAATGTATATCAGTATATAAAAAGATCACCCTAAACTGTCAAAGATAGGTCAGAATTCCCATTAGTAGAGATTACTTACAAATCTGCCAGAGGAACCATACCAAACCCATGGTACTCATCTACTTCAAAAGATCGAGAAGCAACAAGACTTTTTGCAGCAAAATATTCTTCTACGCCAAAAAAGCATTTATTGACCTTTAGAGGTGCATCCATGAGAGGCAGAATGCTCTCTTTCCAATCCTCATAAATAAGAGCCTTATCTTCTTTAACTGTCTGCCTACAAGTGTACAATTAATCATTAAAGGAAAAGCTTCATGGTGAAATAATTTAACTCTTTGAAAGAGCATATAATATAAGCTGCAAAGCATTATGAATAATGAAAGAGAGAGCAATTCCTCTATTATCCTTTCATCATGTCCTCAGAAATAAAATGTGCGAAGTTTGGCTTTACTTTTGCAGATACCACAGTCAAAAAGATCTGACTGAAACTTATGCGAGCACTTTTCAAACTATATCACTAAAAAAATGCATATTTCAACCAACGTGCAACTTCATTTCTATCAGGCATCTATATCAGCAAGACAATGGAGGCTCAACCAATCCATGGAACAGACATCTGATACAAAGTGAATTTGATACATCTCAAACACAAGCCACTCGTCAAAGGGCAAAATAACACCAGAAAAGAAAAGGCAAGTCTGAACAAAATAAGCTATAAGTGACAAGACAACTTAACCAATTGCAAGATTGCTCCTAGTGTGAAGGGTACTATATACAACAAGAACTTTCTACAGAATCACAAAAGCAATTTATTAATATATGCAGTAACATAGAAATGAATACATGTATTGAACTAGTGCATTTTATACCTTGTGAAGCTCAGTGCCACGTAGAAGAGAATCCACTTCATCAACAGACCAAAGAAAGGGCAAGGACTCTTGATGAGGTAATAGCTGAAGGTAACCAGCCCAAGAGGAGGCTTCACCTAAGCTCCTTTCGTACATCAAAGCGACAGACAGGCCCAAACAACCATCCAAACGAGCGGATTCAATCATCTCACATGCCCCACTTGTTTTGATTGTGAGACAAGCTTTCTTTGGTATTTTTGCCACTACATCTCCTTTCTTCAGATCACAAAGAGCTCTCACAGAAATCCCTTCTTCAGGACTGTCCAAAAGCTCGAGCGCATCGCTGCATTCGATTCCTTGGGATTTCATCCACCTCTTGAATGCCCTCAATCTTCTGCTAAGAGATGCGGGGATAAGAGAAATTCAGGTTTAGATGTTAAGAAAATACTGAAAACGAAAATGCACCATTGAATTACAGAACTTCTAGCCGTAGATATTAAAGCGCTCAGACAACTTCATGGAAACAAAGAAAGAAGAAGAAAGTTTGTTTTGTTTGATAACTGAGGAAACTAGAGCTAGGAATAAAAAAAGAATAACCCTTCCACTCGAATTCATTGAATCATTTCGTTGTTTAGCGAAGCAATAAGAAGAGAAGAACAAATTCAGATTATCATTACTAAATCAATATTCTCATTTAGTTTTCCTTTCCCGAGCAACCAAACATAAATGTCGATTAGCAGGAGAGAGGGGCCAGAGAGAAAGAGAGAGACGTACCTGGAGGCCATCAGTGCTGCTGCTGCTGCTGCGTCGTAGTAGGGTTTGTTGTTTTATACAAAAACTATGACATGTTATATAATTAATTTATATTAATTTTTTAGTTATTAAGTAAAACTTTTAATTAATTTTTCATAATCTTAAATATTTATTTTGATTACCTAATTAACAAAATTACATGCTTTTTCTCCTATTATTATCATATAGAATTTTTAATCAAATGGTTTTAACTTTATTAAAAAAAATTATTAATAATGAATATAATTTTTAATTACACAATTTAATTTCCGTTTCAATCAATAAATTGGAACCTCTGTTTTTTACTTGCATAATCTTAGTTGCGATATAACTTTTAACTACACAATGAAATATATTTTTAATTAAATTATTTTAATTTTTACAAATTTAATTACCCAATTTATAAAACTACTACTGTGTTTTAATTGATTTTTAATAAAATTAGAATATGTCAGCATTAATTTTTTATTATATTTATGTTAAATTCAATATAATTTTTAGTCGGATAATTATTATTATTATTAATAATTTTTAATTAGATATCTTAATTTAATTATTCTAAAATCAGCTCTGTTGTGCCTAGAATTTCCATTAAAAACTTGAAATAATATGTACGTGCATTTGTGTATATAAGAAATCTAAAAATACCCAGAGCAGTTACAGCATTTTCTGGGATAAATTAGACCAAAGAACAAAGTTACAGTAAAGACGAACATGAAAATAAAACTAATCTACATATAAAGAAAAAACAACAGAACAGAAAAAGATCAAATTATATACAAGGAACTATCTTTACAAAATATATCTCATCAATTTTACAAAGACTATCTCCCAGATAGGTCAAAGACAGATACAAACTAACTAGCGAGCTTAAAAGCATCAATGAAAAGAACATAAGTAAAACCCATCTTGAAGTTGTTAAGGAGAGCGAGCTTAAAAGCATCAATGAAAAGAACATAAGTAAAACCCATCTTGAAGTTGTTAAGGAGAGCGAGTGGAAAAGTTACCTTTGGTCGGCTGTAATAAAATCTAGTAACATACTCTGTTAGGAGAACTCACAATACTGCAGCTATGCCATCGTTGACTCCTAATGCTCCAAATGACAAGGAGATTGTTTGCACCACATAAAAGCCACCCAACAATGAAATTCCCTCCAAAATGTGCCTGTCGAGAAAGACTCCGGAAGTAATTCCAAGAAATTTCTGTGACAATTCTGATAATATCAACTAATCTTCGAGGACCTCCATTCTCTTGCACAGCTTGGATGCTGAGAAACCCAGGTAAAGACCGCAAAGTAAACCTTCCATATTATCCAGGTAAAACACTCGAATGAGTACTTGACCCAAAATTTTGGAGGCTTGGAGAGATCAAATACATAGAATGAGCCATTTAAAACTCTTTGCCAAAAGCTCTATGTAGAAGACAAAATTCCCTTTCCAGAAGGATCATTTGAAATACCTATGCCAAAAGATAAAATTAACGTTAGTTAGCATTATAGGGAGACCCCCACTAAACAAATAAAAAAATTTGGAACACAGACAAAATGTGTTAATAAGCAGAAGCAATTTAGTTCACTCTGCCGATTTCTTTCACAATAGTAAAGCTTTTTGTTCCCTCAGTTCTTTCATCCATATTATGTTATAAGACTGGAAAGATTTCATGAATGACAATAAATGCAACAAGAGCATGCTTAGCCACTGGTTCTACAAACTATATGCCACAAACTCTTGACAAGGTTTTATGTTTGACTAATGAACATTGATCTAAAGCTTTCAGTCAAAGTGTTTTAGCCAGCAGCCTAAGAATTGTTGATGACCTTTCCTTTTGGAAAGAAAAACAGGATAACTAGACATGCACGATTGGAGTGCCAACCATGTCCAAGAGGTCAGGGTCCCAAGATCTTCTCCACCAAGACAAGGTGCCAATTAAACAAAAAAAGATAAGTTATGAAACCAGTAATCTCCAATGCTGTCAAAAGGAGAGCAAATGCCCTCAACTTCTGTTTCTCTCTTTTCGAAATGACCCAAGTAGGGCAACCTGGATGATGAAAAGAAGATTCTTCTTAGATTTATTTCAACAAATAACCAGCAGAAGCCCAGATCTCCTCCACAAACCACTGGCTGTTCAAGATAAGTACGGGAGACTAAGGGCAGAATCCCACAACATTTTAGCTACCAAAATGCCAAAGCAGCAGATGGTTATGGATTCTCACTCAGTCGAGATAACAAAGGGACACCATTAAACAAGATTCTGTCTCCCTCGATCAAATTGTAAGTGGCAAGAATTTTGCCCACCACGGCTCCCAGCCAAAAAATGCTGTCCTGAAAGAGAAAAGGTTAAGGTAGAAAGACCTTACTATGAAAACCTCATTCATAGAGAAAGACCAAAACAATATGTCAGTATCGTCCAGATCTGACTTGATCGGGGCAAGGGTAATGCTGTGATGTTCGTGTTTCAGTGTGTATCTTTACTTCACCTTCATCTGACTTAAGAGGAATGCTTCTTGAAGACCGGATTGAAGGAAGATAAAACAAACCTGCTTCCTAGTACTGAAAAGCTCTTTGCCAAAATAAGACTCATAATTATCTTGGCTTCTTGCAGAAAAACAAAATTACCTCCACAATCCTTCGAAAAGCCTTTAACC